ACACACACACACACACACACACACACACACACACACACACATGCACGCACGCATGCACACACGCACACACACACGCACACACATGCTGAACTCTGCACCTGCACAGTTTGTGGTCTAGTCGCATACTGACTAGTCCCAGGGCCTGGAAGACTCTGTCTAGCTTAGCTACGACATTATAACATTTATACAACTCAATGTCATCATCAGCTGTTGCGCTGCCCATATAAGGCCAACGAGTGACAATGCTGCTAGCAGCCGATAAGCTAGCTGCATCACTCCGACTTGCTGACAGCTGACGCTACTATTAACTCATTGTGCCCGATTTGCCGTTCCTAAAGAAAACCGTTTCAGTTGCAGAGAGCGAGTCTGCCTGAGGGTTCACCTTGAGCATTTTGTCTGTATATGCTGCTGTCGTCGCTGCGGCACTAACGAACGCGTGAAGGTAAACCGCTGCTAAGCCGTGAGGTACAGCCATGCTGCCTGTGCTCCCAATACCACACCTCCCCCAAAATTACAGCGAGATCACTGCACAACATGCTGCCTCTATAAATATTTTGCGCGCCAATAACTACAGCACAGCAGCTCTCATGTACGATTTAAATGTCAATTCAAAATGTTACGCCCGTAATTTCATGCGCGTTAGCAATGCTTCCATTAATGGGTAATTATACGCTTCTTGGAGAAGCACTAGGTCAGCATATTAGTAAACATTGCGCATAGGAACCGTAGGCACATAGTAAACATAGAAAGCATAGTGTGCATTCGGAGAAAAACACTGACCTGTCTATGCAATGAACTCAAATAAGCAGTGCCCCCAAATTTAGCAATGCCTACCAGAGATTTATATCTCCTTTGGCCGACATTCAGTTTAGGTGAGATTTTGAATCGTAGCACAGGACCTGTACTAGTTACATACAGCCTGCCTGTCAAGGCTAACACACACACGCACACAAACACACAAAACACACACACACGCACGCACGCACGCACGCACGCACGCGCACACACATACACACACACTTATGCACACACTTACGCACACACGCACACACACACTTACACACACATTTACACACACACGCACGCACGCACGCACGCACGCACACACACACAACTCATTCCTTGCTTCCAGAAAAAAACATATAATAAGGAGATTTCCTCAATTCTATGTGTAACAGCTGAGGCCATCCTTAAAAAATTCTATGTTTGCTGTCCCCCGACCCATGATTTTTTTAGTCGGTAGGTAGGTAGGTCTTTTTTTGTGTGTGTGAGGCATAATAGTTATTACCTCCGCGCAACGGAGTTGCAGGGAGGTAATGTAATCGCTCTTGTGTGTGTGTTCGTGTGTGTGTTCGTGTGTAGCCAGCAGCGAGCCAGCTGTTATACACACGCTCAACTGATCGATCGATTCAGCACCAGCTCGCCTTAGGGCATCCAGTCAGCAGCAGCTCGCCTTAGGGCGTCCAGTCAGCAGCAGCTCGCCTTAGGGCGTCCAGTCAGCAGCAGCTCGCCTTAGGGCGTCCAGTCAGCAGCAGCCAGCAGCGAGCCAGCTGTTATACACATGTATACATGTTACACGCTCGCGGAGGTATGCACTCTTTGAGTGCCCTCTGTCTAGTTTTAAGTCTGTCCTCATGTTTTGCCACACATGCTTTGTGTTTCAGTCTTAACTAGACAGAGGGCACTCAAAGAGAGTGCATACCTCCGCAAGCATGTAACATGTATACATGTGTATAACAGCTGGCTCGCTGATGGCTGCTGCTGACTGGACGCCCTGTGGCAGTAGCTTAAGTTGTGTATGTTTGTGAAAAGAAAACTGGAAAAGTCATGGTGATATAAGACATATAAGTATTGTAGACAAAGACACTGCATTTGTTTACATGAATAAAGTTGATTTTACGTGGTGCATTATATAAGTCTTTGTCGGTGGTATAGGCGTATATAGTAGATACATAGAATAGATTGTTGCTGCGTGATATTTGAGTTAAAGTTAAATGTAAATATATAATTGAAATGCACTCACGTTGAAAGTTGTTGCCGTGGAATACCGAAGGGCAGCAAAAGAGGATACACGAAACTGATGGTACTGCGGGCATCCGTGGAATGCTACGCATGTAGTTGTAGTTTCTAGTTTTAGTTCTAGTTGCTGTTTCTAGTAGTTCTAGCTTGTAGTAGTAGAATCGCTGAAATATTGATTGTTGCGCGCAAGCGAGCGAGCTGCTGCTGACTCGACGCCCTAAGGCGAGCTGGTGCTGAATCGATCGCGCCAACGCGTGTAACATGTATAAGAGCTGGCTCGCTGCTGGCTACACACACACACGAACGCATCACACGAGAGGGATCACATTACCTCCCTGCAACTCCGTTGCGCGGAGGTAACTATGAGAAATGTATATATGCACCTTCCAGAATACCAGTAGAAGAGTTATATTTATATAGACAAAATAAACAAAACAAAAAAACAAAAACAAAAAAATGGAACCCAAAATGTCAAAAAATTCTTTTGGGTCGTGGCTATTTTCGTGAGTCGGTCGGAGGACAGCAAACATAGAATTTTTCAAGAATGGCCCAAACATTGTATATTTATTTATTGTACTACTGCATTTATCATTATGTATATATATATCAGAAGTAGATAATAGGGAAGGAGTGTGACTTCAATAAAACAAGGGAAATTCGTCATTTACTAGCCTTAGAATACCTACGATTTACTACGCGTAACTCAACCAACTTGAGCTCAAATCGTACACAGTAGTACATTCGCCTAGCATTGTGCAAAATCGTTTCCTCGTATACACCCGCAATCCGGAGATACAGACTAAAACGTACGACATGATTATCCATTCTGTTGCCAGCAAACCGAATGTATAAACCGCCTAACTTGAAACAAAAGGCAGCTGTAAATAGGTCAAAGATTAGCTTGCCGAGTGTTGCGTCGATATTCAATCTCCCAGCGAGCCACACCGCATCGCCGAGGGCGCAAGAGTCGTTAGTAGCTGCCTTTTGTTTCAAGTTAGGCGGTTTATACATTTGGTTTGCTGGCAACAGAATGGATAATCATGTCGTACGTTTTAGTCTGTATCTCCGGATTGCGGGTGTATACGAGGAAACGATTTCGCATGATGCTAGGCGAATATACTGTGTACGATTTGAGTTCAAGTTGGTTGAGTTACACGTAGTAAATCATAAGTATTCTAAGGCTAGTAACTGACGAATTTCCCTTGTTTATTCAAGTCACAATCCTTCCCTATTATCTACTTCTGATATATATGTACATTCATGACGTGTATTTACAATATTATCGTGCACCTATCATCTACATCTTATCAAGATCTTATAATAACTTAAATTATAGCTATCACGTAACTAGGGCTGCTAAACAAGGTCACATCTTATTTTGCTGACCGCCAGTGTCCTGCGTAACTCACTCTGTAGGCGGCGGGGGGAGGGGGGGTATGACCAAACCATGTGGTTACTGACCTACATAACATAAAGTGCAACACATTACAACAATTTAATCTTTGGAAGCAATAATATATTACTACTTTAAAACCTGCAAGTGACGACTAGAATTTTTTACTAATTGCAACTTCAACCTATGAGTAATGACATGAAACCTCACTGTAGCTTTGTTTCAGCTAACATGTGTTTTTGCATCAGTAACAAGCTGTGTGAAATCACAAGGGATGATCTGAACATGGCTGCAGACACAAGAGAAAGCATTCGACCTAAAACTTGAAGTTAGCTGATATGTGGTCACAACGAGTGATGAGAGGCAATCACATAATGGGTCACCTGAAATAGCAGTTATCAATATCACTAGAAAATATTCTAGATTATTAAAGTAGATGTGATACCATTTCTGAACGTTATTGTGGTAATGTACTGAAATTGGGAAACGTATTGGTGAATATGGAAGAAATAGGCCTATTAAGCATGACTACGTTAGGCCAAAACAAAATATATGTGTGGTTACCGTTACATGCCGAAAAAAAATAGGGTAGGTAGGTAGGGAAAACATTTTATTTTCTCGAAAAATTTATTTACGAACCATACATGTCCGAAGGATGTGCGTTGTGCCTTTTGAAGCAGGAACAGTCCAATTCATATATTTATTTATTTTTTTAAATATTTTTTGTTTGTTTGTTTTACTTTAAAGAAAATTGACAATAAAATGTTTAGGGCCGCTGGGAATAAATAGGGTCGGTCGGGAAACCGTAACCACACCTATATTTTGTTTTGGCCTCATCATAAATAACAGTACACTAGCAACTAGGGTAACTATTGGGTGCATATTTATTATAGCAATAGGGTTGTGATAGAAATACTATTGTCGATACTATTACAGTAATTTAGAAACAACTGCGATACTATCGCGATACTATTCAAGGGTAGAAATTAACTTTTGAACAAGAGAGTCCAACAGACTCCCTGCCCTCAAAAAGACCGAGTCCGCGGCAAAATGAAGGAGTCGCAGTCTGAAGTTCAAAATTAAAGATATTAACAATAACGCATGTGCTTATTTTGAAGATTCATGCGGTTGCACGTCTGCCAAATTTTCTTTGGACATTTGATAAAAAAATACGGTAATTCCGTGAGGCCATGCTCTGGAACGAACTAGTTAGTGTGGCAGAATTTTCAGGGAGTCACACGAACTCCTGCATATGTCAAATCAGGGAGTCCGGCAGAAAATCAGAGAGAGTATTAGACTCCGGACTCCTGGACTCCGGACTCCGGAAATGGTTTTCCGACACATTGATGTCCCAGGACATATCTTTAGCAGTAAATAAACTAGCTTGGTGTTTTAATATTGCAACAAACAAAAACTATTGACTGTTCAGTGAACTATCAGCAGTAGTTATCGATATTTTACTTTGCCATTGATGCATTGCTATCAAGGCAAACAGTGACACTATTGTAATTAGTTAATAGTGTGATGCATCGTTACACGCCTAGTAGCAATTGATACTGATAATGCTCTTGCATTAGTCAATAACAACTTTTAGAAATCAGGACCCGGTTCCCCGGTTGTGGATTAACTCTTACCAATGAGTTAAATTCCTTAACTCTGAGTTAAAAGTTAACTCAGAGTTAAATTCCGTTCCACAGTCGTGGATTAACGTTAACTCCGAGTTAAATATGCCTAACACCGAGTTAAAATTTAACTCTGGTATGAACCTAGATTAAACGCTTAACTCAGGGTTAAAAAGCAAGTTACATTCGATTTAGTTATAGATAGTCTTCGGTATAATCCTTTAGACTTTGAAAACTATTTTCTACGATGTTAGTTTAGCTCTAGGATGCTAGTCTATAGTACTAGAGCTAATTAGTTTATCTAGTACTGCCCCGTGTCCGATCCCCCGCTGGCGCTGGAACATACGGTGTTTGTTTACGTTTGTTGTACATTTGGTCATCCATTGCTGGCGTACCAACACTGATCCCGGTATCCGTACTGTGATAATACGGGAAAATGTACGACATAAAGCGATTTCCCAATAGCCGCAGCTGTTAAAGCGTTGTGCTGATAACGCGAACGTTGCGGGTTCAATCCCAACATTGGCAAAATATTTTCCCTCATTTATTTATTGCTGCCAGTTTTCATTATAATGTTTTTTCATTACACCTTCTACCATGTTCGTGCGTCTATCATGTTCGTCTGTTCTAACTACGTGGAATTATGGGATACTAACTCTGAGTTAAAACATTTAACTCTGATTTACTTAACTCAGGATTTAATCCATGTTTATGAAACCCAAATTTAACTCGGAGTTTACTAACTCAGAGTTAGCTTTAACTCAGGGTTAAAGTTAATCCACGACTGTGGAACCGGGTCCTGGGGTCTCACCCTTTACATATATATCAAACCCAATGATGTGTTACACTGTATGCTAGTGTTGTCGATCGGTTGTAATTTCGTAATCGATCATCAGTTGGACCCAAGTAACCGATGATCGGTTACAATCGGTTACTCAGGGTGTTGAATGCCTGCGTGTGCGTAACGTTGTGTGCATGTATGTGCTTGTTTAGCCCTGTTTACTGTTTGTTTTGCACTGTTTACTACTGTGTGTATAATACATGTATGTTAATAAAGGATAACTTGTATAGTTGCGATGATATTGAGGCACCCTCATCACTTTTCTTGTTCAAGTTTTACATTTATTTAGATTTTTTTTCTTCTTTTTTTTTCCCGATGAAATCGATTATGGATTTTGATAACCAAGCGCTTGGTTCGAGCCACTGTTCAACCGATGATCGAGTATAATCGATGATCGTGACATCACTAAGCGCTTGGTTCGAGCCACTGTTCAACCGATGATCGAGTATAATCGATGATCGTGACATCACTACTGTATGCCTATATCATATGTTGCAGTTTATCCCGGGGGGGGGTCACTCAGGATATTACTTGGTACGCATGCTTGTCAGAGAAAACGTCGAAAAAGGGGTACTTTTTCAGGTTAATCTTCGACGTTTAGGGCCGTCATTTCAACTCTGACGATTCTTCTGATTTCGTCTGACTTCGACTCTACAACTGTGATGGTACTCTTCTCTGCTGTGCAGGTCACATTTGGCCATAATAAACCAAAATGAAGAAATAAATCAATATAGCTTCCAGTGTATATCTATAAGTGTAATACCTATTGAGTGATAAAATCGTCATTACACAATTAACATGATTAAGGGACCAATATATTGTGCTATGCCATTTTGATATGCTTTGACGAGCATGCGTACCAAGTAATATCCTGAGTGACCCCCTGGGAGTTTATCCACTCCAGGCATTGCCATTGGCATCAGATAGGCCCCTACTTACATTCAACCGTTTTAAAAACCACGACGAGAAGACAACTAAACTGGGAATCAATCTGTCTTACATCAAGTACAATCAGGGGTCATTTCATACCCAATACACTGCCCGTCTATCTAACACTAACACTTACTACTAGTAGTAACAGTGCCAGTAGTATACCATTACCAGTATTGTATTGCAGTAACACTAACACTAACACTAACAGTAACAGTAACAGTAACAGTAACAGTAACAGTAACAGTAACAGTAACACTAACACTAACAGTAACAGTAACAGTAACAGTAACAGTAACAGTAACTAACACATAACACTAACACTAACAGTAACAGTGAACAGTGAATAGCATAAAAATAAAAACAATCGATAGCTTACTTAAATGCTAAGTTAAGCTACTAATGTATTTTAACTGTTATGGATTTCTAAATATTCCACTAATCTCTCTCCTTCGTAATTAATTAATTACCATTTCTAGAAAATTGGGATTACCTTTCACACGTCAAGTTACAGTCGCTCAAATTTTTCTCCAAAAGCGGTGATGGCTGAATGCTACACACAGCATCTGGTGGGCGTGGCCTGTTCCCTATCAATCACCACACTAAAGTTGTGTACACTTCTGTGCGCTAGGTACATTATAGCAGATTATACTATATGAAATAATATGTGAAAATTTATTTTGAAATTAGATTGCATGCATGGTAATGGTTTATGTATTTTTAGATGTGTTTTTATATTTCTGTCCCTGTAAAGTGTATAACTAGTATAAGCAGTGTAATAATAAATCGAGTAAACACTTTACACCATTTTTGCCGCGATTAACGTAATTAAACATTTTAGAAAGTAATATAAGCATGTAACAGAGAATTTAAGTGACATATTAGTTCAGAGTTTACAAGCTAAAATTAAAAGTGTAAAAAAATTGCATCGGTGACGTCTGTCACGTCTCCAGAAGCGACGAATTGGAGACCGAGTTACGGGTTAACCACGCCCACCCGTCGTCCGATTACGACTGAATGTGTAATAAATAATATAGCGACGTACGAATATTTTAGCACGAGGTTTCATATTTTATATTTTCCTTTTTTTATAGGGCAATATTTATCCTATCATCAATATTATTGATTGTGTCAATAGAGACAGCGAAGTTTAAACAACAAACTTAACAAAATTAAACACGAGAAAAGATTGATGGTGTTAAACTTCCTTATGGCACAGTTAGAAAAGATGGCTGCTTCTATGCACATGTGTAGATTTTGTAAATCGTCCTTAGTTTCTAAAAGTTCGAGTAGAAATCAGGTATTTTACATTGTATTTGTAGGTTAGTTGGGCTCCCTTTCTTTTCACATGATGCTGTGCTGCTTAAATAATAATATTAATAATTCAGATAGATAATTTACACTATTGTCAGTATTGACTATTGAGTGTATTCAGTATTGTAGTGTACTGTCAGTGTCACTGTGTTAGTGTGTCAGTGACAGATTAGATTACATTACATTAGACAAATTTTATTTACGCTTTACGATTTTACATCAAGAATGCAATACCAATAGTATTGTAAACTATACACTCGCAGCTAGGTCCTGCATAGCTCTAGTACTATAGCCCGCGGATCGCTGCCGCAGGGCTATAGCACATTCTGCCATAGATGTAATCTAAGCAAATGGTCCAACTGATGTGACCAAAAATTTATCCCCAAAACGTAAAATGATCGGGCTTTTTAACACTTATCTATCAACTTGGACATCTCACCTATC